CCAGAGCAAAAACATCTCAAGGGGAAAAACGAAGGAGGATAATAGGATATTATCACACTAAGAGTGTAACACTGACACCAGAGTTATTCTCTTATAATATATATTTTAATATTAAGTTATAATATTTTTAGCATTGAGCTATCATCTAGAATACAATAGAAATAAAACCAGCACAAACTAATTTTAAAAACTATATAAGATAATGGCTGGCTGACCACATATCAAATATTTTAGAATAATAACTTCTTTTGTGGCTAGTTTACTGTGACCATTTTTCTTGGAAAAAGATAAAAGACAAACCTGAAAAAGGTCAAATCTGAAAAGAGTTCATAAAAATAAAAAACCTTAATTGTTTATAGCTTTGCTTTACAAAAGTAAATTCAAGAGGAAAGCCAAGAAAAATGTTACAAAAATGCATATTCTGATAAAATACAGTTCCTAAAGTAAAATAGAATATGTAAATTCATTTTTTTAACAAAAAAATGATTCAATTTCTCTATTTTTCACATGAATGTGAAAGACTGTATTATGTGGTACCATTTGTAGAATAAAAGTTAAATGATCAAAATACAAGTGGTTCTCAACAGTGGAGGGATTCAACCAGTTCACTTCACTTGGCTGAACCAGTTGTTAAATTGCTGGCTGGCCTGCCCCTCCCCTTCCTGCCCCTTCCAGAAGTCCCCACGCGCCCATTTTGGCTCCCAGATAAGTGCACGGAGGCCTACTAGGTCCAAAATGGAACACAGGGGGTGTGGCGCAGCCCCCCCCCCCGCCCATGGCCTATTTTTGGTCCCAGGAGGCTGCAGGAAGACCTACTAGGCCCAAAACGGGGGAGGAGGGGTGGGCCCCCCCTCCCCGTGGCCCCTTTTTGCTCCCAGGGGGTTGCAAGAGGCCAAGTGCTCCTGTCACAACCCTTGGCCATGCCCACCATGGCCACACTCACCCAGCCAGTCATTAGGGCAGAGAACCAGTTGTTAAATTATTTGAATCCCACCACTGGTTCTCGACCTACAATAGTTCATTTAGTGAGTGAATTTGCAACGGCATTGCAAAAATTGACTTATGACTGTTTTTCACACTTATGACCATTGAAGCATCCCCACAGTCACATGATCAAAATTCAGATGCTTGGCAACTGGTTCATATTTATGACAGTTGCAGTGTCCAGGGGTCATGTGACCACCTTTTGCAACTTTCTGACAAGCAAGCAATGGGGAAGCCAGATTCATTTAACAACTGTTAAGTTGGGCTAGTGAGAAGACAGTAACCAGATCTATGTGAACAACAGCTCTTTATTTCAGAGTGAGAATCCAGCAAATGTGCAACACTGACAGCTCTCCTTATATAGTATCCTGGCCAGGGTGCTGGCCAATCATCATCGAGCATTTTCCCTCCAAATTTTCCTTCCAAAATTAGATACACAACAACAACTGTGGCAAGAAAGGTCATAAATGGGGCAAAATGCACTTAACAATTGTCTCACTTAGCAATTTCGACTCAATTATAGTCGTAAATTGAGGACAAAATGAAACACAAATAAATCCAAATCCACAGCTTTGTGAAATAAAGGATTGTCCTTCATATTAAAGAATGTATGGTCACTGTAAGCTGGTAAGATAATTCGTCCATTTTGGCAGCATAATAGAACACAACACAACGCAACAGAAGTGGGAGACTCTGGAATAGCTGAAATGTCATTTACCAATTGAACTTTTTGCCACAGATACCAACAGACTTTTAGCATCACTGTTTTAAACCAGAGAGGAGGTTCTACTGACATCTCCCCATAGGTTCCATATCTGAATGGTGACATCTGCCCATACAGTAGCTTCCAGGTCTGAGTAAGAGAGCATGCAAGACAATATGGGCTCATCTCACTCTCTAATGTGCCTGTACATCAACTGTCTATATATTAATTCTATATGAAAAGTCAACCAGTGTTTGTAGCAATATAGAGAGGTTGTTTCCTCAGGAAAAGGATCTCAACTCAGTCAGTATCCCCTGCACATTGAGGATCTGTAATGTGGGATGGAATGTAGAAAGGAGGTAGATTCCAATGCAGGATTATGTGTATAGGTGTGAAACAATAAATAACCCAGTTTGGAAGAATAGCCATATGTCATATTTAGTTTGGGGCCTGAGATCAGTTCTTGCAGACTGAAGATTCTACTATCTGCATCTACAATACAGTCTGTGAACTGTTAGGGAAGATCTGTCTTCACCTTCTTTCTCTCACACATAATACTTTGACTGAGTTGCATCCAAGGGTGGGATTCAAAAATTTTAACAACCGGTTCTCTACCCGGTTGCTGGGTGGGCGTGGCCATGGTGGGCGTGGCCTACTTGGCCTCCTGAACCTCCTGCGGGGGGGGGGGGTGTTTTTGCCCTCCCCAAGCTCCGGAGGCTTTTTTCGAGCCTCCAGGAGGGTGAAACTGGCCTCCCCCAGGCCCTGGAGGCCCTCCGGAGGCCGGAAACAGCCCGTTTTCAGACTTCCGGAACTTCCAGGAGGCCTGTTTTTCGCCCTCCCAGAGCCTCCACGTGGGCGCTGCATTTACCTGGCATCCAAAACGTGGAGACTCCTGGAAGGGGTGGGGCAGAGTGGCCCGAGTAGTCCTTGCAACTATTGGTTTGGTGAACCAGATGTAAAATTAGCATCTGGTTCGCCCGAACCCATCCAAATCAGCTGAATCCCAACCCTGGTTGCATCTTACTCCTATGGAATGAACCCTCTACCCTGCTGGGAATCCATGTCTAAGGGATTCTAATCAGGCTTCTAAAGAAGAGTTGGAAAAAAGGAGATGTGTCTATTATTAATTCAGGATAAGGATAGCTGAACAAAAGTTTAAATTGCTAAACGTTGTACAGAATTTAGATAAATTTAAGATAATCTCTGTGAAAGTTTTAACCACAGCTTTTTTTTTAAATGACTTAGCTCATTGCAAAGCCCAGCCTGTTTAGTTAGTTTATGATTCAATGTACTATACAAACCCTAGAAAATAAGCTAATTCAAGTTAATAGGTTAATGGTACATTGTATCTGATACAGCTCTCTATAGACTCTACTGGTTAAGAAAGAAAGTGCAAATTAAGATAAAGTCTAGCAACTTTAGCAACACTGAAAGACTGGGAGGAATAATCAACCCCCATTCTCATTTCTAGATCCATTTTTTTTTTAAAAAAAAACTTTCTTAATAGAAGAACAATTTTGAAGCAGCCGGTCTTTGAAACAAATATGGAATATTTTTCCCTTCTGTTTTCTGGAAAAAAAAAATAAGTTCACAATCCAAAGGTAATCATATTAATCTTACATCATTGTTACAATGTTTGATTTTAATTAGTAAACAAGAAAATACTCTTAGGTCTTAATGTTGGAACAGCACTTTCAAATGTCACAGAATACAGAACATATTATGGTGCCTGACTGGCATTTAACATGGTTATAATTGTCTTTTAATGCAATGACTGTGTAACTGTATTCTACATTGCTCTTCTCTAACTCACCTCAGATTTCTACATCTTATGCAAAAAGTAAAATTTATTGACACACCTTTCAAACATGTAAATAATGAATCAATTTGGAAAATTACTTGAGGTTATAAGCTTATGAAGCAGTAAATCTATGTATTCATCTTCTTTGGATAGTATGCTGCCATTAATTAATTGTGGTATTAGATAGCATTATGTCCCATTTCAAACTTTAGTTTAGTGGTGGTTAACAAACTACAAAACAAGCAATCTGATTAATATAAGCCAAGATTTTCTTGCTGGATGCAATTCACGATAAAGAAGAATTAAGGAAGAGTATTTTCCTCCCAAAGTTATTCCCAGCTCCATAAATCAAACAACCATCTGAACCCTATCAATACAAATGGAAAACTCACACATTTTCTTTCAGTTCAACTCAAATGTTGACCAGTTCCATTTTTAATATTCAGGCAATTAAAAGTAAAATAGCAAAAGCTACGAGTGTTTCCACAACTATTGATTTGCACAAGTAAAGTTGAATTACATCATTTTTTTTTCACTGAATAGATTTGCAAAGCAAAGAAAGAAAACGATGACACAAAAGCAAATTATGTCAATGGCTCGTCTATGATTGTATTGGTGATAGTTGAAGAACATGATGTTGCCATAAAGTTTAAAGTGAATGCTCAGGTTTCTAACTGATTGCCAGAATACTTTGTTTTGGTAAACAATCAATTAGGACTGTAAAGCTAAACAAAATGGAAAATACATGGGAAAACAATTCAAAATCTTCACTATAACTCCTCAAAAAAAAACAACCAAAAAAACCCTAATCTGAAAACATTTCTCAATTGATGATAATCCATTATATCTCCATCTGTGGTAGCCAATAGAAAACTGAGTATTACTAGAAATATAAATCCAGTATGAAGTGTTATGTACACTTTCGGTCCAAATGATATGAAACAATAAACCTGGTAAACAAAGTAATTATTTTGCAATCCATACTTTTTCTTCTGCCAGAAGAACGTAACTATAATTCTATCTCTTTGGAAACAGCATTCAGTCTTTTAATAAGATACCCAAGGGGAGAAAAAAAAGAGAGTGTAATTTTATACAGCAACTACAAAATCGTCTCTGTTGCATTCAAAGGGAATCAAGGCTATAAAAGCTTTAGGCTCATTAAACTCTCTACTAAGTCACTGGCTCTACATGTGAAAAACACACATTACCACTGAACTCCACTTTTTTATCGGATGATTACATGCAAACAACTCTCCAATACCCTGTGCATTAATGCTTCAGAAGGGGAAAGGAAATTTTTGTTTAATTCTCTTGTTTTTTAAAACATTTGTCCTATTTCGCTGGTTTCCAACCCTATTAATTACGAACAATTTCTTCTTTCTGTACCACCACCATCAACAGCAACAAGCTAATTCTCTTTTAGGATGGCAGTGTTGCTCCCTACGGTGTTGAACAGTTCAGTTTTTTGTTTTTGTTTTGCAACCCAGGATTTGTGTCCACTTTTATACATACCTCCTTTTCTACAAATTTTCTTGCCGGGTTTTCTGGCACATTCCTTGGATATTCTTTTGACTGAAAAATGAATAGAAGACTAGAAAATAACATGGAGCTCCAATGATAGACGGTAGGAGCATGCAATACCATTAGCTTCGATATGGGCTGCTTATTATATGTATCGTTTGAGCGCAGTAGAATCTCCTTCTTGCCTATCCATGCAATGGATCGAGATGTTGATGCATCTGTCTCAGGAGTCAATGGGAATGAGAATTAGGTACCAACTTTGACCTAAGGATAAACGTGCTGAAAAGGAGTCTAGGCTAAGAGAAGAAAAAGGACAGCATTGACTAAGAACTGATGCATACATAGAAAAGCCACATGCACACAGGTTTCTTTAAAAAAAAAAATGAAAGAATTAGCATGCAGACAGAAAAAGCCGTGCTGGCTACCAGTACACATGGTTTCATTGTTTAAAGAAATATCAAACAGAAAAGTAAACAAAAGTTTTCCCCTGCTCCTTAAGTAAATAACTCACCATCTTCAGTTGGGACATATATATTCAAATAGAGGCAGTCTTCATTCTGATCTTGTACGAAAGTAGAAACTATATCCAAGTTATTCGTAAACCAAACAGGAAGCATGACTTCCGGTAATCTGCCCTCAATGATGTTTTGAGGACATACTGGTGCAAATTGCGTTGCATTTTTGATGTCTGGCCAAGGAGAAGGTGGTTCAGGCGGCTGAAATCGGTGTTCTCCAATAGGCGGGGCAGCGTAAGGAACTCCAAGAAACTCGATCACTGGCCCCAAAATTTCATTGTTCAATTCCTTCTTCATCCCCCTCAGCTTCCCAAAATTGGTGGTCACCACGGGGTCGATATCATCCAACTTTTGGGATGACACGGCGGCTGTGTGAATCAAGAACCCAAGTACGCAAAAAGTAAACGTGACATCCAATCCCATGTGCAACAAGCGAGCTTGTGTTGCCCTCCACACACAGTTCAGCCATACAGATATTGGAAAAGCCATGGTCCCACATGAGTTGTACATCTATGGTTAAAACAAGGTGATTTGTATCCAGCAAGGCAGAAAGGAGGGCTTCCCCTTCCCACAGAAACAGGAAAAATCAAAAATCAAATAAGTCTGAGAATACCCAAAAGCTTCCTTGTATGGTATCTTCCAGTGATTTCATTCTTGCTGATACAGCATCTTCAGAGTCCTATTTATCAGGCTACATTCAATTGACAATTCAGTTTTCCACTGTAGCAAGATGAAGAGAGCATCCATTTAATACAGATTCCTCACTTATAAATCAATTCCAGTTAACTTCAGGTCTATAGCCTGGAGAAAATGAAAAATAAATCATTAGTATGAAAGAATTAATATAGGCAGAATAATAACTACATGTTTTACACGTTATTGTGCGTATATTAATAGTTGCAAGAGCCATGTAAAAAAAAAAAACCCGCAAGTAATTTATAGTTTCCTGAGATGGCAGGTAAAATACTGATTAACGGGATATTTATGATGTCCTTTGCTGAGTTTCTTTAGAGAAATGCAGCATTTAATTTCACTTTTCTAAAACTGGACACATGGATTTAAGGGCTGGAATAAATGTACATACAGTTTATTTGTAATGCCGCATTCTTTAACTAACAAAGAGGCTTGCGATCAATTTCAAGCTGATTAATATTAGGCAATTTGGAACCACAAATCAATTATAATTTTATACAACTCTAAGAGAGGTAGGAAACACTAAGATGTTATGAAACTTCTACGGAGTACCTCAGTGATCTAAAGTATGTTACCAGTCGTCAGCAAAATAGAATTAGTTTTTCCAATATACAATATACTAGTACCGTGATGGCGAACCTACCCTCATATTTGCGTATGAGGGTAAAAAACAGGTTACTTCCTGGTTAAAACCAGGAAGTAATGACGACCGGGTAGGTGGGCGGACCCTCACGCTGCCGCCGCTACCGGTTCTTCGAACCACTCGCCGCCATCGCTACCAGTTTGGCTGAACTAGTCTAAACCGGTAGCATTTCACCCCTGCTGTAATACTATAGCCCATCTCCACCCTTCCAACAACAGCCCCTAATACCAGGACTAGGGACCTCCCACTGCTTTTTCATTGTTGTTGTTGTTGTTGTTGTTGTTGTTATAACATAAAATGACATTACAAAACATACAACATTTATATATAAACTTTCTTCACAGCTATTTCGTGATGGTCTTCTTTTGTTATTCACATTTCCACTTATTTCTGTTTATATTATTCCAATAACTACTGGTCCCTTTCATTTTTAATTACAGTATATTCCTCATCATCCCTATCAATTTTCTAACTTTTATATTTTAATAAATTCTTACAATAGTAAACAATACTATACAGTATCAACTGTAGAGACCTTCAATTTTCTAGGTTCTACTATGTCGCAAGCTCTAAAATGGACAGCTAACAGCACTGCCTTTTCTAATCAACCCTTAGAAGGGAAGCTGGGCACCTCAAAGAACTTCAGCTAAATTTTTTCTAAGCAGCCTCACAATACCCAGGCACCATCTCCCTACATAATACAACACCTCACCTATGCAACAACACATTTATGCACACTAAAAATTCACAGGCTCTCTCTCCTGCTACTTCCACAAGTTGTAGAGGGCTTTCATGATTCCCCCATCACTTGCCTTCATAGGGGAAAGTATCAGTAGCCTGATACTCCACTCCACTCCAATCTCTATGTTTGTCTGTCTGCCTGTCTGTCTGTCTCACAACGCACACCTTTAAATGCCCAAAAGAGTAGATGGAAGGGGCAAGTCAATAAAACAAGTGTAAAGCAACGTAAGTCCAGCATACAGAAGCATCCACTATCAGCAAAAAAGCAGCAGTTATTTTTTTTTATTTTTTTTATTTTAGTCAGATTTATATGCCGCCCTTCTCCCGTAGGACTCGGGGTGGCTCACAGCAATAGAACAACCTGACAATAAGTGAAAATTAAATAATATTAAAACCAATTTAAAATCACCAAGTCCCCAAGTTAAAATCTGCGGCAGATCAGGGAAGTTGGTGGAAGAGCAATGTCTTTAGGTCGGCGCGGAAGGTGCGGAGGTCGGGGGCCATCCGGAGCTCGGTGGGCAACCCATTCCAGAGGGTCGGTGCAGCCACAGATAATGCCCTCATCCTGGGGACCGCCAGCCGACACTGTCTAGCTGAGGGGACCCGGAGGAGGGCAGCCCTATGTGAGCACACTGGGCAGTGGGAGACCGGTAGGAGGTGATCCTGCAAATACCCCGGGCCCATGCCATGAAGGGCTTTATAGGTGAGTACCAGAACCTTGAAACGGACCCAGAGGACCACCGGCAACCAGTGCAGCTCGCGCAATAGTGGTGTTATATGGGAGTAGCAGGATGCACCCATAACTACTCATGCGGCCGCATTCTGAACCAGTTGGAGCCTCCGGGTACACCCCAAGGGGAGCCCTATGTAGAGGGCATTGGAGTAATCCACCCGAGAGATAATGAGAGCATGATACGGAGGGCGTCCCTGTCTAGAAAAGGGCGTAACTGTCGCACCAGGCAAACCTATGCAAATGCCCCCCTTGTCACGGCCATTAGATGATTCATTAAAGACAGCCGTGAATCAAGAAGGACGCCAAGATTACGAACCCTATCCGAGGGAGCAAGCCACTCCCCTCCCATTGACAGTGATGGGGAAACTAGGTCATGGGACGCCGGAGGCATCTAGCATAGCAGTGTTCAATGCAGCCCAGACTGTTCTCCAGAACAACAGTCCAAATGTTGATGCCAGGTCCAGAAAACTGTTGCCAAGTCCATAACAAGGACAGTGCAGCCAGCCAAGGATGGCACAGCAGGGGTGGCTCGCAAAATGCCATAGATCAACAGGCATGATGATCCTCCAGGATGATGCACTCCAATCTCCAATAGTCCACTCCACCCAGGTAAATGTCTCCAAAAACATTTTCAAACACACCACACAAACAATCAGGAGGACATCCTGAGTGTGGCTCCATCTCTCGCTGCCATTTTCCTAAAGACGCCTAAGTCAAAAAGAGACTTTTAAAAACTTTCTATGCTTCCTGATTCTAAATCCTTATATGTGTGATAATTATGCAGATAACAATTTTAGAAGAAGGATTGGAGGTATTTGATTGCCAGATCAAGTGCAATATTCTTATGATTATTAGACTTCCTTCCTTCCAACTAAAGCCCCTCAAAACATCCTAACTAAACCAAAAGCCCCAGAAGCCCCAGAAGAAGAAATAAAAACAGAAGTCATCTACAACATACAGTGTAAGGGATGCAAACCCCCCCCCCATTACATAGAACAAATAAGCAGAAGACTGACAGAATGAACCCATGACTAGCAGTCAAAAGATATGATCAAACCTTTTTAATTTCATAACATATGGACAGACTTAATGCTAGCTTCAGTTTGGAAACTGTGACCATCCTAGACCAAGCCAAGTCCAAAAACCTAGGGAATTTCTAGAAGCCACTTTGGCACATTAGCTATTAATAGACACATAGACACAAACAATATCTATCTGCTATGCCATGTTGGCGAACCTTTTCATCACCAAGTGCCAAAATGGGAGCACACACGGGGGGGAGCACCAAAAACCTGAAGAGAAGCTCCCTGGCATGCATTCGCGCCGGTCACCTGATCTTCTGGTTTCCGGCATTCGCATGCGTGCCAGTCACCTGGTCTTCCTGCTTCTGGCACGCATGTGTGCATGAAGATCAGCTAGCCAGCAGATATATCTACGCCGGAAACTGGAAGCTCAGCTTCCCAGTGCACACATGCATGCCAGGGAGCTGCTCTTCTGGTTTCCGGTGCTCCCACAGACATGAAGACCAGCTGGCTGGCGCAGATGTGCGCACCAGAACCCGGAAGAGCAACGGGCAACATCTGGCATGCCCGGAGAGATGTCTCTGTGTGCCACTTCCAGCACATGTGCCATAGGTTCGCCATCATGGTACTATGCAAAAGAGACAACCAACAAGTCAGAAAAGGAACAAAAAGACCCAAGTACTTTGCACCAGCAATCAGCACCCAGATAAGCATAGACTAACATTAATCCCAAACTAATAATCAAGTAAACAATACTCCAATCAAGGAACTGCCAAACAAACCAACAGTAAACAGCCAACAAAGAACTTCTAAGACCACTCCCTCCAACACTGACAGGACAAGCCACTAAAACAAGGGTCCCCAACCCACAGGCCATCTGGAACCGGGCTGCACAAATGGTAGGTGAGTGACCAAGCGGCAGGTGAGCAGGCAAGTACGTGTGGCTGCACTCAAAAAAAATTAGGAAAGAGAAAGCTTCTAAGCAACTCCTTTCCCAAAGTCACATCAACCATTCCACTCCTGTTTTAAATAATTAACCCTGAAATAGACTTTTGGCTCAGACCAAGCTTACTTTCGAATCAGGAGCCTAACAGAATATTAAAAATCAGCAGAAAAATCCTAGCCATAAAGAAGAGGGAGTCAAGCTATTCTCCAAAGCATCTGAGATCAGGACAAGAAGCAATGGATGGAAACTAATCAAGGAGAGAAGCAATGTAGAACGAAGGAGAAATTTTCTGATGGTTAGAACAATTAATCAACAGAACAACTTGCCTCCAGAAGTTGTGAATGCTCCAACATTGGAAGTATTGAAGAAGACACTGGAGAGGACAACCATTTGTCTGAAATGGTATAGGGCAGGGGTGTTAAACTGGATTTCTTTGAGGGCCAGATCAACATTTTATTTCTACTCCGTGGCCCGGCGGGGGTGGGGAGGGCGAGTAGAGTGGCAGGGAGATGGGACGGACACTTTCTGCAATACTTTCCTGGCCAAAACGGGACACAGGGGTCTGCACACCTCATTTTCGCCCTCCCTGGCCTCCAGCAGCACTCTGCCTGCCAAAACTGGGCGTGCAGAGGCCTCCTAAGCCCCCCCCTGCCCCGAGGCCCATTTTCAGTCTTCCCAGGCCTCCAGCAGCACTCTGCTGGCCAAAACTGGGCTGTGTGCAGGCCTCCGGAGGCCCCCGCATGGCCCCTTTTAGCCAGCAGAGGCACAGCGGGCCAGTCCTTTGATATAGCCAGACCAGCCCCACGGGCCAGATTTAAGCACCCCGAAGGCCAGATCCAGCCCATGGGCCTTGAGTTTGACACCCCTGGTATAGGGTTTCCTGCCTGAGCAGGGGGTTGGACTAGAAGACCTCCAAGGTCCCTTTCAACTTGGTTATTCTATATTCTATTGTTTAGGTGCTATACCATATCTGAGTAACTTTCTAGCTTGCCATTCAATGTTCTAAAATTCCAAATTCTTTTT